GAGTATAGTGGGCTTTATTTTTTTAAGTCATCAAATTCCTACTGGTTTGTTATCTACCTGTTCAAATGTGATGTCTTCTAAACTTTCCTCTAGTTCATGCGATTCAAATTTTTTTGATTTTGTTCATGTGTCATCTGGATGTATGACAACTGTTTCTAGCAATAATACAAGCATTTGGCATTCTCGTTTGGGAGATGCAGCTATCTCGACCATGAATAAATTACCCTTGTTGCATTCTGTTAACTTGGATTCCAAGTTATTGCATTCTTGTCCTATATGTCCTTTAACAAAACAAACTAGACTTCCATTTCTTGTTAGCCTTACCTCTTCACAAGGTCCTTTTAGCTTAATTCATATAGACTTGTGGGGTCCTTATCGAATTGCTACGCATAGTGGTCATAGGTATTTTTTAACTATAGTAGATGACTTTACTCGTATGACTTGGGTGCACTTGTTGAAATTGAAGAGTGACACTATTATATCACTTAAAAAATTCATTACTTTTGTTAAAACCCAATTTTCAACCACTTTTCAGATTATTCGCAGTGACAATGACACTGAATTCTTTAATTCTCATTTTTATGACCTTTTTAGTTCTCTTGGTATTCTTCATCAAAGCTCTTGCGTTCAGACTCCCCAGTAAAATAGGGTTGTTGAACGCAAACATAGACATATCCTTGAAGTAGCAAGAGCACTTAGGTTTCACTCAAAAGTTCCTATTAAATTTTGGGGGGGAATGTGTTACTACAACCTGTTATATAATAAATCGCTTACCTTCTTCTGTTTTGAATTTCAAGTCACCTTTTGAAGTTCTTCATCACAAAGCTCCTGATCTTTCTCATTTAAGAGTCTTTGGGTGTCTATGTTATGCTACCAAACTTAACTATCTTGACAAATTCTCTCCTAAGGCTGCTCCTTGTGTTTTCATGGGATATTATTCAACTCAAAAAGGATACATTTTGTTTAATCTTCAATCGAAACAATTTCTTGTAAGTCGAGATGTTGTCTTTCATGAAATTATCTTTCCTTTTCATTTTCCTATTTCAGAATCTTCTCCTTTTTTCCTTCGCATTCTCATATTCTCATATTCTTGATTCTTCAGTACCAACTACTACATCTAATATTGATAATTCCTCAAATGAAATCCCTACTGTCTCACCTATTCCCTCTATTTCTCAATTTGATTTTTCAACAGGTGCATCTAACTGTCCTTTTGTTCAAGAATCATCTCCAGATGGCATTCCTTCTTTAGCTCAAGATTCTCTTGTGTCTAGAAGGTCCACGCGTGTCTCTAAACCTCCAAATTGGTTAAATGACTATATCTGTACTTAATCCACTTCATCCTCAACTACTTACCCCATTTCCAAATACATCTCTTATTCTCATTTACCTAGACATACTCAACATTTTTTGGCTTCTATTTCTCATCTTTATGAACCCACCACTTATCAAGAAGCCTGTGAAAATCCACAATGGCAGCAGGCCATAAGAGAAGAGATCCAAGCATTGGAATTGAATAATAGTTGGATTGTGGTGCCTTTTCCAACTGGTAAAATTCCCATTGGTTGCAAATGGGTTTATAGAATTAAGTATCATGCTTCGGGTGAGGTAGAAAGATTCAAGGCTCGGTTGGTGGCCAAAGGGTACAATCAAAAGGAGGGTGTTGACTATGTGGAGACTTTCTCTCCTGTTGCTAAGCTCACCACTGTGAGATTGATTTTGGCTCTTGCTTCTATCTTTGACTGGCCATTATGGCAAATGGATATACATAATGAATTCTTGCAAGGAGATTTGGTTAAAGAAGTCTATATGCAGCTGCCTGAAGGCTTTTTCAGCCAGGGGGAGCATATGGTTTGTAGGCTGCAAAAGTCTTTATATGGACTCAAGCAGGCTTCTAAACGATGAAATAAGAAGTTGTCTGAAGCACTTATATCAGCAGGATTTCAACAAAGTAGGTATGATTACTCGATGTTTACAAGGCGAGTAGCAAGCAAGTTGGTCATTGTGCTTGTGTATGTAGATGATTTGCTGATTACTGGCAGTGATAATGTTATGATAAAAGAGCTCAAGTGTACATTGAATTCTAAGTTCAAGATGAAAGACTTGGGTGAATTGAAATATTTCCTTGGACTTGAAGTGTTAAGATCAAAAAAAAGAATTGTTCTAAATCAGCGCAAGTATGCTCTCGAATTAATAAAAGATATCAAGGCAGGGGGAGCAAGGCCTGCTTTGACACCTTTGGAGCAAAATAACATTTTCTTGGCTGGTTCGGACACTAAAAGCTTGAAGCAAAATGAAGAAGATATGGTTGACAAAACACAGTTTCAAAGACTGATAGGCAGGCTTATTTACTTAACCCATACCAGGCCAGACATATCATATTCAGTACAACATCTAAGTTAATTTATGCATCAGCCTGGAAAGATGCATATGCAAGCATCCCTGAGAATTGTGCGGTATGTTAAGAAGAATCCAGGGCAGGGAATTTTGTTGGATTCCTCTAGTGCATGTGGCTTGGTTGCCTACTGTGATTCTGATTGGGCAACTTGTCCAATGTCAAGGAAATCTGTAACTGGGTATTGTATAAAACTTGGCAATTCTTTGGTCTCATGGAAGTAAAAAAAGCAGAACACAGTGGCTCGTTCTTCAGCAGAAGCTGAGTATAGAAGTATGGCTATAACCACAGCAGAGTTAGTTTGGCTAAGTGGGTTGCTAAATGAGCTAGGAGTGAAACAGAATCAACCAGTCAAGTTATTCAGTGACAGCAAAGCAGCGTTATAGATAGCCTCTAATCCTATTTTTCATGAAAGGACGAAGCACATTGAGATTGATTGTCATTTTGTTAGAGACAAGATTCAAGAAAGGTTTATTGCAGCAGAACATGTGTCTTCGAGGGAACAACCTGCAAACATCTTGACCAAGGCGCTTAGTACTCAACAGCACGAATATTTGATAGCCAAGTTGGGGGTTTCAAATGTTTTTTACCCACCAACTTGAGGGGGAGTGTTGAGATTAACAAATATTAGTTAGTTTGTTAGATAGGTTGTTAGAGGCAGTTAGTAGCAGTTATTTTTTAGTTATTGTGTAATTACTTGAACTATGTACTATAAATTGAAGTTTAGATGGATAATAAAATTAATGAGGTATTATTTTTAACATAGTTTTTTTCTTGAAAAAAGAATTTATTCTTAGCTGTTTGTCTATCAAGTGTAATAATACAATTGAGCAGAGGAGGGATTGATTTTTGAAGATGGCCATTTACATATGCTACTTCATCCAAAGCTAAGTTATTCATTTTTTTTTCTGTAAGGCTAGGGTCCCCACGGGGAGGGTTGTTCTTGAATTGCCTGCTGGAATGTTGGATGGTGACAAGGGTGATTTTGTTGGCACTGCAGTTCGTGAGGTATGCTCTCTCTCTCTGTTTCTCATTGCCAGAGATTAACACATATTATACAAATGTTTATATACATATATTCGAAACTGTCTTTATTATTTTTGTAGGAATTTGTATGTTAGTCATATTACCACACATAGAGTTCGTAATTTGCTTTAGGCAATGAAATCTGCCATTTTTAAGGTCAAGTAATCGAGGGTTATATAGTAGTGCACCCAAACATCTGAGTCTCTGCTACGAGATCATTTTCCCCCTTTGTGGGTTCTTATAGATTATATTCCAGCCTACATTATATTTAAGGATATGCCAATGTTCTACATCTGCCAATTGGTTGAGAGAACTTGCTACTTTTGACATAATATTTTGTTAAAAATTCCTTACGACCGGCTTTTCTTTTTTGGCTTCCGTTTCCCCCCTTTCTGTTCCACAAATATTTTCTTAATGAGTTGAAACTTGCAGGTTGAGGAGGAGATTGGTATTCACCTGAAACTAGAAGACATGGTTGACCTCACTGCCTTCCTCGATCCATCTACTGGATTCAATTTTTTTCCTTCTCCGGTATGCTGGCAATACGGATGAATGTTTTTTTTCCTGGAAAACCATCTCATGTTATAAACCCTACATCACTTTGAAATAGAATCGTTAACTGCATGTAACTTCGATTATCTAATTATTAATCCATGATGTGCACTGTTTGTTTGGAATCTTGGCATAGCTGTTCTGATAGTCCTTTGTAGAGAATTTTATGCTGTTTTCCGGGACATTTTGTCATGTCATGACTTGATTCAGCTTAGGTTTTAGATAATTTTTTCTTGTGTTTTCCATGTTAGGGAGGCTGTGATGAAGAACTGGGCCTAATTATGTACACAGGGCGTGTTGATAAAAACATTATCACACAGCTTGAAGGAAAAGAAACAGGTTGTTCCGAACACGGTGAGATGATCAAGGTTTGTGTAGTTCCGTACGAGAAACTCTGGCGCACGACACCTGATGCAAAGGCACTCATGGCCATCGCTATCTATGAAATGGCCAAGAAAGAAGGATTATTACCACAGTGATCCTAACCAGCCAAACTCCGTCGTCACTGGCGTACAAATCAAGTTAATCTAAATTTAACATGTAATAGAAATCTGTAGAACTGCTATAATTATGAATGAACTAGAGTAAATTTGTACTTCTGCTCTTATTCAATTATTTCTTTTGATTTCATCCCCTCGAGACATGTATATATAATGTACATGTGGACCGACTCGAAGGGATAAAAAAGAATATTGATTGGAAGGATTGGGATGCCATATGGTTTTAAGCCAACATGAGACCCACAAATATGATTAAAGTGGGGAACATGTTAAAGTCTTAAAGGACAACAAAATTGAGTACCGAGCCCTAAATGATACAAAGGGTCATCATCAAGCCATGCCACAAAGCTTCATTTTCCACAAGCTTTTAGGCAAATTCAAAGGTTTGCTTGCTTTAAACTCCAAAGCCCACTTGAAAAATCATATAATATAAAACCCCATATCTCCACAATGGGACATATGAAGCCATTGGAGAAAACTGCAGATGAAAATGCCCTATGTTTCCACTTAAACCTTAGCCCCTTCTAATGGGCTCTGATCTCATCTTTCTCACACTGATAATACTTTCATGGGCGTCATTTTTTTCAACCAAAGTCGAAGGGATTGCATCGGCTCGCCTCCTCGATCTTCTCATTAGGGACTACACAGTTAAGTCCTTTAACTGGCATTGGAAAACAGGTACTTTATATGCTTTACATTTACCTGCAAATTTATCTGGGATCGAAGTCGATACCGTGAGGTTTCGATGTGGGAGTCTCCGACGATATGGAGCGAAAGTAAAGGAATTTCATTTGGGAATTGGTGTGATTGTTCACCCATGTGCTGAGAGAGTCATTGTGGTGAGACAAAACTTAGGTCTCAATTGGTCATCTATATATTATGCAAACTATGATCTATCAGGTTACCAGCTTGTGTCACCTGTGTTGGGGCTTTTAGCTTATAATGCAGGCAGTGATGTGAGTCTCGGTAGCCCTTTTCAACTCGGGGTTCTTGCAAGGGAAAATCCAATTAAAATCAATTTTGGCGAAAATAAAATGGCTTCCAACGTAACAGGATTGTCAACAAGGCCATTGTGTGCTAGTTTTGAAGGAGATGGAAAAGTTACATTGAAAAACCAAGCGTCACCCAATGTTTGTGTTGTGACAAGGGATGGACATTTCGGTTTGGTCGTCGAGTCACCGCCGTTGATGCCGGTGAGGAAAAAGATTAGTAGATGGAAACTGGCAGTCGGAAGCTCGGTCGGAGTTGCTTTGGGAGCTTTCCTCTTGGGGTTGCTTTTGGTGGCGATTGTTATTAAGGTGAAGAAAAAAGCAAGACTGGAGGAACTCGAGAGGAGAGCTTATGAAGAGGAAGCCCTTCAGGTTTCCATGGTTGGACATTTCAGAGCTCCGACAGCTTCTGCTACTCGAACAACGCCGACGATCGAATATCAGTACATAAATTACCATTCTTGAAATCTTAGTTCTGTGATCCTTTTATTCAATGTATGATCATTCTTTTCTGGACTTCTGATTCTAACAAAATGTTCATAGGTTCAATGTCTTGCAACATGAAAACTGAGAGTTTGCGCTCCATTGAAAAGTACATAATATTATACTAGTGGTTGGAGAAGTTGTTGGTTTCAACCTTTGTGGGTCAGACACAATCATCAGGCCCAGAGTCTTGAAACGTAAGCTTTGTTTAGGGCTGAAAATTGTTCGGATTTCTTTTTAAAATATTAATTTTGAATCAAATCAAATTTTGAAAAGTGAAAAATTGAGTTGGGACCATATCAAATTTTTTAAAATATGAAGTCAGATTCGAGTTTAAGATAATTTTTTTTATATAATATGAAACATGTTTCGGGTTAAATCGAATATCAATTTTCATCTCAAAATTCAAATTAGATTTCAAATCGTATTAATTATTTTTAAATTTGAGTTGAATCGGTATCGAGGGAAAGAAATATATTTCTCATGTAAATTCAAACTAGTAGAAAATTTGACCTTGCGTGACCTGTTTTCATTACCTCTTGTTATGGTGGATGGGCCATGGGCATTATCTTATTATATATATATATATATATTTGATTGAAATCTCATTTAATTATTTAAAAATATGAATATATTAATTTTTTAAAATATGAAGGTTTTTACGTTGAAAAATTAGTTTACTATTTTATGTGATAAATTCTAAATTTATATTTGTACGTTTGGATTTTTATAAAATATTAATAAATAAAATAAGTAAAAAGAATTCAAAGAGAAACAATTATTACTAAACATTTATCAATATTTATTTATCATAATTCTAACCTTCGTCCCATATGTTCGTCCGCACCAAATCCCTACTTTTCGCGCAAAAACATGTAACGGTGTTAACGCTTCCCGTCAAGCTTCCTCCCATAGACTCATCCACACCCGAATCGCTACTTTCGCGCAAAAAAGATTACAACGGTGATAACGTTTTCCGTCATCGAAGATGGAACCTAAAATCGAAAACAAAACCAATAAACTCAACTTCGTCTTCAACCTCACAATTGTTAGGGTTTCCTGACTATCAACCCCAGAAATCAATAGTTATTACATATGGACGATCCTACGATAAGCAAACAATCTGCTCCATCAACTCCAAGTATCAATTTCCCGTCGATAATGTCCGATTCTTCACTCCACCTCGAGAACCTTCCGTCTCGGAAAATGCACATCAACCATTTGCTCAATTCCAGCTACAATCGCTCTACGTCGCGCATGATATACTCCGATAGGTTCATACCCAGCAGACCCGGCTCCAATTTCGTACTGTTTGACATCTCTAATTCTGCCACTTCAGCCTAAGGAAAAGAAGACGGGTCCGGTACTTATAACAGCCTTTTACGTGCCGCGCTTTTCGGTCCTCATACGCCCAATGAGAAGGACTTGTCGGAGGTCCCAGCTTGCCGGAATTTTTTCCGGTATAAAACCGAAACTAAACGGCCATTACACTCGGCTTTCACCTGCCGGGTTTGATGAGTCAGTTCCTGGGATTAGCTATAGCCAAGTTAAAGCTCCGAGAAAGGTTCCCAAGTCACCTTACAAGGTGAGGGTTTAAGAAATTTGAATACATTTTTTTGTTTTGTTTTGGGGTTAATGTTTGTTCTTCTTTTGTAGGTTTTGGATGCACCTGCATTGCAAGATGATTTTTACTTGAATTTGGTGGATTGATCTTCGAATAATGTATTGGCGGTTGGGTTGGGGAATTGTGTTTATTTGTGGAATGCTTGTAGTAGTAAGGTCACAAAGTTGTGTGATTTAGGCGTTGATGATAGTGTTGTTCAGTTTGTTGGGCTCAACGTGGAACTCATCTTGCAGTTGGGACTAGCGATGGGGATGCTGAGGTTCGATTTTGTTTTTATTATTATTGAATAAGTCTTTATGTTGCTGATTTTGTCGATATCCAGATAAGCATCGGCATTGATGTCAACAGGCTACTTGCAGTAAAATTAAGGGACAAAGCAACACTGTCTAAGCGTGCATGCTTTCTTTCTGATTCCGGCTGTGTTTGTTTTAGCTTTAGGATGCTACAATTAGATATTGTAATTCTGTGTTTGTTATTGCGTGGGCCCAAAAAAGCATAATTTAGAATCAAGGAAGTAGTCCTTAGCTAATGATGTAATGTTTTCGAAGTCATTTTATGTATGACGGAGGCAGAAAGTGTGCAAAGCTTTGGACATTTTCTTCTGGTGTACTCATCTTTGCTCCTCTATTGCCCTTGCATTCAGGCTTCTTTGCTGTATGTATATATTCAACTTCCTGTGTTTTGCTTGTAGGATAATGTATTTAGGTTATAAATATCACTTTGAATGTAGATTTGGGATACATCTCGCTGCCAGAGAGTCAGAACAATGGAGGGGCATCGGTTACGCGTTGGGACCTTAGCTTGGAGCTCTTCTCTGTTATCTTCTGGGAGTCGTGACAAGAGCATTCTTCAAAGAGATATCCGTGCTCCGGATGATTTTGCTTGTAAACTCTCTGGTCATAAGTCAGAGGTTAGACTCTTGCTTTGTCATGAATCCATTATCTCATGCTTGTCGATATTTATATCTGGAAATGCATGTAATACCTATCGTGCTTGTATTCATTCATGCTAAGCTCGTGTTGTCAATTTCTTACGTTGAAGTCTGTTGGCCATTGTCTCTAGGTTTGTGGGCTGAAGTGGTCTTATGATAATCGTGGACTAGCATCTGGCGGGAATGACAACAAAGTATGTAATGACGGTTTTTTTGCCTGTCTTATATGTTCTGATACTTCGTATAACCTTTTAACTGATTGAATGGCAAATTTGATCCGAATGCAGCTTTTTGTTTGGAATCAACATTCCACTCAACCAGTCCTGAAATACTGTGAGCACACCGCGGCTGTAAAAGCAATTGCATGGTCACCTCATATGCGTGGGCTTCTTGCATCTGGAGGTGGTACAGCTGATCGATGTATTCGATTCTGGAATACAACCACTAACACACACTTGAGTTGCAAGGACACTGGCAGTCAGGTGATTTTTCTCTTTTGTTTTTTTATCCTATCCTGTCCGTTCAAAATGTGCATTAGATGAACTGATTGTGCATTAAAAATTTTATTCCTTGATCACCTTGATTTAGTTGATCTTTCTCCAACTAGTTTGAAATGTTGAAACACTGTCGCAGTAGTCTTGCCAAATAACAAAAAGATAAGGAGTGACAAAAAAAATTTCAATCTACATATTTGATTTCAAGTTCTCATGTAAGTTCTTGAATTGTATCCATGGCAAGTTTAATAATAGAAATTAACTGAATATGGTGCCTTGGTGGTGATTCTTCATACTAGAACTGCAAACTCTTGACCCTTCTAATGTCCACTTTATGCATGGCACGTATGCAATCTTGTGTGGTCTAAGAACGTCAATGAACTCGTCAGCACTCACGGATACTCTCAAAACCAAATAATAGTCTGGAGATACCTCACCCTGAAAAAGGTTTACGAAGTTTAATAAAACAGTCCATTATGTGTATATATGCTAATAATCTCTCATCATCTGCTTTTTCCCCTCGGAAATTTTCTTCTTTTACTGCAGTTTGCTACTCTTACGGGTCACACATACAGAGTTCTTTATCTTGCAATCTCACCTGATGGCCACGTAGCTCACTTCTAAACAGATGAAATATAGTCTAGAATTTTAACTTCTCTTGATTTGCCATGGCTGAAATGACTCTTTTCTTGCAGACAATAGTTACAGGAGCCGGAGACGAGACACTAAGATTTTGGAATGTCTTCCCTTCCCCTAAATCTCAGGTAGCAATACTCAGGTTCCCGGCTCTCACAATATCTATATCGGAATCCTTTCTGTGAATGCTCCCTGCGCTGTGTAACATATACTCCCTATTTCTTTGTTGGGAGTGTCTATAATCTACATTTCTTTGCTCAAAGGGCTAGTTTCTTTTTAGGACAGTTGAATGCGAAGTTTTCACCGATTGCTGCTGTCCCTTTAACAGTTAACGATGCCTGTAACTGTGAACAATGAACTTTAATGCAGAACACTGATAGTGAAATCGGAGCTTCATTTTTCGGGAGAACCACAATCCGCTGACTTCATGAAGAATATACATTCTGTAAGGATTCTCGTGCTATGGATTATCGGACTTCATCAAGAGAAATTGCTGTGAGCATTCTCATGCTCTGAAATATCAAATTTGTTAAGCAATCCAATCCAGAAAGAATCAAAAGAATTTGCAGCAGGTGCAAGAACTTACTGCTTGTTTCTTGCACATCACTTTTTTTTCCTGGAATCCCAGTTTTCTTTTTTTTTCAAAATGGAGTCGATTGATGTAAATACCGAGAGTTGCTGTTAATTTTCCATAGCAGCTCCCTTCCCTTCCACTGTAAATCAAAGTAAGCCGGAGTTAAGTTATTCGAACTCGGATGTAAGTGTTGGACAGGAGTATATATTTTATTTACTGAAAGGGTCATATGGCCATATTTAGATCTTCACTTGTGTTTTCCAGCTATGTTGCTTACTTGTGAAAGTTAAACAAATCTGGACCCAAAAAAGCAGGTTGTTATGTTTTCCAGCTCTAAAACATCCAATAGCTCTAAAACATAATACATATAATTTTAAAATTTTGAAGGGTCGGATTAAAATTCTTAGAACTTTCAAAAGACTAAATATTAATTTTGAAAATCAGGGCATTACGATGTATTCCGAAGTTATGCTTTCATTAGACGTAATTAATAACGTATTGACTGAAATAATCTATTTTGATCGTTAAACTATTTTTTTAAAATCATGTTTAATGTTATGTTTTGGTTCTTTTTTAATAAACTGTTGTTAAAAAATAAATAGAACCGTTGAACGATGACAACCCTGTTAAGTCTCTTGTGGAAGGAGGAGCCAATTTTGGTCTTTGCATCGGTACTACATGCAACAACCACAACCATTTTCACTGTAAATTGGATGATCATGGCAAAGAAGGAAGAAAAAACAATTATAAGTATACGCAGAGCCATGC